AAGTTAGCGCCATCCCCAGATCGGACTAGGCCATAAGAAAAACACCGATAACGGAATTCGGTCAAGGAGGCAGGATCTCGATTCCAATTCAATGGTTATCTTACGAAGCGGAGAATTTGTTTCCATATTCTGAGACCGGCTACTTCAAAGGCAAGGAACGAGTAGAATGTTTAATACACGAAGCCCAATTATGAAGCCACATTGAATAATGCATTGAACTATGCACATTCAGCAGTTATAAGAACTTACACAATGACAGATTACGCGATAAAGGCACAGGTTGAGCAAATTGTAATGATACAAATAATAGGATACACGGGAAAGGAACATTATGCTAAACATTTAAGACTAAAGAACGATTTTTTTTTTCTCATAACTACGCTTAATATCTAGCTGCTATTTTCGTGTGGTTCAGAAAACTTAATAAAACTAATGCATGCTTCTTTTTTTTTCTTTTCTTACGTAAGGCCAAGGATTCGAAACTTCGGCCGAGGAGGAGCGCGCGACTGTCCAGTATGCTTAGTCCAACCCGTAACCGGGTTCGTCGCCGATCACATCTAGCAATAAATTATAACCCCCCCCCCCCCCCCCCCCCTCCTCCAAACCAGAATTTCCAACACAAAGTACACAAACCTAGCTATGGTATAGTATGTACTAGGGTTCCGTGTTTTCCGATTTACCCGGAAATCACGAAATTTCGAGGTCGCGATGGCAAAATAAAAATCACGAAAGACCGTATTTTACGAATAAATTGCCTGAGAGCACAGGGTCAGTGGTCCCCATGAAAGGCCACTTCAGGTTCCTTCGAAATATCGAACTATTGACAAAAGGGAGTTCACCGTTTATCTCGTCAACGTTCGTTCAAAACGAAGGGTTACTGTACTTCTGGGTTATAGGACAAAAGCCACAGTTACCGTTTCCAGTTTGTAGCACACTGTGGCACACATGTAGATTTCAAAAGGGGGCAGGGCAACTGGAGCTTCCTTGCTTCCAGGCGACTACGTCTAGGTGTTTAGTTATTTGAATGTATTGGCGGTAATTAAAGCAACTTCTTTTCAAGATTTGTCGTGAGACAGTAATGGCAATGAAAAGGACGCTAATGCCAAATGCAGTTAAAAACGTATATTGCGATACAGATGAGTTCTTCAGAATTTAGTGTTCGTTGTGTTTTTCAGTATTTATATTTAATTTTAATACGGGAAATTGCCAAACAGTAAAATTAATCTCCAAATTTGGAAAAATAGGGAATTTATAAAAAAATACCGATAAACCCCGAATTTTCAGCAAAAAAAAAAAAAGTTCCAAAAAACACCCTCCGAACGAAAAATAAACTCCGAAAATACGGAGTTCGTTTTTGGAAGGGGCCACGGAAAAAAACCACCCGTGGCCCCTTCCAAAAATGTGCGACCCCCCCCCCCCCCCCCTTTCCCCCCAGAGTAACAATCCTAGATGTCTTAGACGTCCAGGGATAAACCCCTGGATATCTAGGACAATCCATAGAGATGAGTTCAATGTCATCCACGGGAATGCCGCCGCACAAGCAACTCAGCGTTTCCACCCGTCGAATGCCCTTGGGGGCCGAGAGGAAGATGTCACCCCTGCCGTTCCTTGTCAGTGCGAATTCGAAGAAACGAAGCGATCGCAAGAAGCGTTGGTCGACTGCACGTCCGACCGACCGACCAGATCGGAGCAGCCCAAGGAAGAACGGAATGTACTACAACCGGCGTCATCCCTTTCTGGAAGGTGACACGAGGTACAAACACACACACACCAGACTGGCAATGCGAAGCGACGTCCTTGGAGGACTTCCCGTTGGCATGCTAACGTCCGCCACGCCTACCCGCGGCCCAGGCAGAAAAAAACGCTCGGAGCGAGTCGTTGCCCAGAACGGTCCATATATTAGAGATGCGTTTCCTTCCGAGAACACATGCCTTTTCTTCTTCGGCTACCACCAATATATCTATTTTTGTTTGTACTTTGCGTGCCTATTCCTTATCTTTAACAGCCTCGTGCTGGATGGAACACATACAAAGGCCTGTCCGTGACTTATCCTAACAGTTAAAAGCGACCGCTCGCAGTGTGGACTTGCTAGTTTCCGCCGGAAAAGTCTCACGACCACGCCGTGCTTACTCACCGACGGAAGGAAAAAAACAAAAAGACATGAGACACCACGGGAAGGGTGCAGCTTATTTGCACACAATAATCAGTCAGCGGCGGTTCCGCCGTCGTGTAGTGAGCCACATTGCATTATGCGTAACACGCAACGCCGTGTAAACTTCACAGGCGGCATACCTGTCTAGCCAAAGCGTATTCGCAATACACAGCTCTCGTCTTGTGCGTCACGTCAAACCAGGGACGCTGTCTCTGAAACTGAACATGCGCCGATTATTCGCGGTTTAAAAACGGGTTTCTGCGGTCGCGCAGTGCCTACAGTTCCTTGTCCTTAATTTGTGCTACAAAAATTAAAGGAAGATCCATTCGTGGATCTTTGGGGAATGCGTTAGCATGACTCTTGGGGAAGCGCCACACACGTCCCCATTTGGGAAACGCTAACACTGACCCGGTAACGAAGCCAAAAAGAGGCACCAAAAATAAAGGAAGCAAAAGAAAAAGCAAAGAGAAAAGTGAAGAGGTCGGCGTTAGCGTTTCCGAAGGGTATAATGCTAAGCATTCCCTAATGCCCGTTTCAGAGAGGGAATTTCACCCAGCGACTTGACGTCGCAACACCAACAACACGGGCCGCCCGCGTTCAGACGCAGCAAACAATTGCTGCCACTTGCCACCATCATCATTACATTGTATTTGTCTTGCACTATCTAGACAGGGGGTTACGCGCTATAAACGTGTTGTTTATACTTTCAAAATGGCGTTGAGAATAATAATTCATCTTCCTGAAACGGTTTATCCCCAAAAACGATTAATTTCAATCCCGAACCAAGTCATTTGTTGTCATCATCACCGGCACGAGGTATCACGTGAAAATACCGCGGGTCTGATTGGCTGCTGCCGTTTCAAGCGTATCCGAGTTATCCGAGTTGTTGGTCCGTTTCGAGCCGGACACGATCCGAGCAATTCGTGTGGCGCTAGGGAAAGCTATAGGGAACAACTCGCCAGCAACCCCGAGATTGTTGGAAAAGTTGCCCCGTCTGAAGCGGGCCTTAGGATACACCAATGGATCTTCCATTTTCTTCTTTTCCCAGGTTGAAATGTTTCACTATTGTTTCGTCGCCTACACCCAGTGCCGGAAGCGCGTGGCTCGGAACTTGTAAAGGAAAAGGTGTATATACAAAAGGACATTTTCAACCCGCTCTCGCTGATGTCAAACCAGAAAAAAAACTGAAGATGTTTTGCCGAAGAAGATCCTGCTGGTCGATCTTGAACGGTAATTTTACCAGAGCTACGGTACCTCTGGAACGCGTCCCCGACTGGTGTGCTTGGCATCCCATACATCAAAGATGGTCACCAAATGGTAGCAAGTTACATCACACGAATTGACCTGTCATGCTGTCGGATGTCGCGATCCTGGCGGTTGGTCGGAAGTGCTGGCGAAAAGTACGAGCCAACGTCGTCGTGGCGTCCCAACTCCTGGCTGTCGAAGCTTCCGTGGACTGTGAAGCTGGAGAGCGACCCGCGGTAGAACGGGCGTCTGCCGTATCCATCCCCCCACCGCTGAATGGGTGGATGGATGTTAAAGGTTAAAGGCAGGTTAAAGGCTACCGCCCTTTGCAACGGGCGGTAGCTTGCGCCACCTAGCCTAAGTCTCAAAAGACAAAAACATATGATTCCTCCCGCTGCTGCGACACCGCCAGGGTTGCTGCCGGCGATAGCGCGACACCTCCATGACTTCAATCGGGCAGAAATCGAAGGAGGGACCAGTTCTTTGGGACGCGGTAAACACACCAGTCGGAGACGCGTTCGAGGCATTTTAGCAGAACAGGGTTGCGGCAGACAACAGCTAGCGGGACACTTCTATGACTTCATGAGGTGGAAATCGACAGTCCACAAGTGAGGACGTGGTAAACAGACCAGTGGGTGACGGGTGGCAGGCACCGTGCTCGAACGGCTATAGAACTTCGCAAAATGGCCTTCTGCGCGCTGCCATCTTTGTCTGCTGGGCTGTGGAACGCCTTCTGAGAACGTGCAGTAGCTCTCCTCTGCGGTATATATCGGTCGCCGTGCTTGCGTTCACGCCCCAGTGACTCGGCATTTTTCGCCCGAAGAATAAGCGCTGCAAAGGTGTCTAAACTAAACTAAACCACTGTAGTACTCAACTTTCCTTCTTGCCAACACGCTCACCTTCAAATATTTGCATTTCCCTGTCCCGGCAGACGACGTCATTTTTGATAGCTTTAGAAGAGGAAAGAGGCGAGCAGCTGCGTCGGCGTCCAGCTGGGATTCGTATCAGTGGAGGTCGAACGCTGACGTGGCACTCGTGGCCGTCCCGTGCCCCGCGTTTGCTTCTTTAGGTTACGCTGATAATTCAGTGGTTTTCCTACCTATACTCGATGTCACCTCAAGTAGAAAAAAAAATAATCAAGTTTTGCGCGTTGCTCATTTGTCGCGCGAAGCAGTTCTTACAAGATTTGCTTGTCGGAGGAAGGAAGCGACGCTTTAGGCGGCTGAAACGCGTGCGTCTTGATAAAATATGTCTAATCTAAATGCACCTACACGTATCTTGATTGTGCACATAAAGGGGGCGAATTAGGAATGCTCCGCTAGGAGCAGCACTTTTTTGACCACGGTTCTCGGCCACGCTCAGAAATGGCGTCGTCTGCCGGAAGGGCAAATGGGGAGAGAAGGGTCTACCCAAATGGAGAGGAGTAATACGCGTGTGGAGAGGAGGTTCGCGTATCTTTTCCGTGTAGACCAACACGCGGATTTTATGTCACGCGCACTGCGCAGCGCCTACACCACGTGTGGGCAAACGCTGACTTGATCTTTTGTAAACAGCGTTTATAAGGGAGCTTGTTTACGAAGGACGTTCGCAAGCCACAGCTCACCAATGTTGACGAGCTTGATGTTGTCCTGCGCCATGGCGCTGAGCGCCGTCTGGACGTTCTCCAGGCATTGGTGCTGGTTGAGGGGCTTCTTGATGCGCTTGAGCTTCCGCTTCTGCAGCACCTCGACGAGCGAGATGAGCTTGAGGCCGTCGCTGAAGTCCACGCGCAGGTCCGCGACGGCCAGGCCCTGCGGCCGAAGCTGCTCGTTCACCCAGTTGGTGAACGTCTTTTCCTGGATTTCCACCCAGACGCACTCGTCACCTGCGGGAACCCCGGAAAGAAAATAGAGGTTAATACACGCTGCGCGACACGGCGCGGGTTCGTGCCATGGCTGGCCGCGCCTGTCTTTTCAGCTGAAGGAAATTTGGGGCGTGCTGCTTTTTTTTTTTTCTGCTCGCGGGCGGAGTCTTTGCGCGAGGTCATGCATGTGTCGCATTCAGTTCCTCGACGGCAATCAGGCGTGAAAAAAGATTTATACAGAGTGTGTAGAGAACACTGAATCTATGAGGCGTGGTGGCACTGGCGACCCTTGAAAGACGATTATATATATATATATATATATATATATATCGGGTGTTTCAGCGAAGACTGACGAAATTTCTACAATTGGTGTATTCGAGGTAGAAGGATAATTTTCTCGGTACCCCATTACTCGTGGTGGCGAACGTCAGATAATGCGCGATACTTACCAATTTGTTCTCTAAATAATTAAAAATTATTTATCAACCTTTTTATTTGTGAAAAAAGACATGGTTCCAATTAGAAACTTGAAGAGCGTCATGGAAAAGCCCTAAATCAGTCATTTTCCGAAAGACTTTCAGCGTGTGAGAAGCGTAGTAGTGCACAAAAGTAACCACTCGTGGAGCAGGTACAAGGCTAACGGTTGCGGTAAGGCGCCCGCGCGATTTTCCCGTCTCTTACGAGAGCCCCAGCCTTGTGCCTGCTCCACGACATTAAAGCCGGGGCCACACTGCTTATACATCATACAAAAGACCGTCCGCAACCGCGAGTCACCGGAATATCCGTGGTTCGAATGCCGAGTGCTTCTCCGTGAACTCATTGCCATGCGGCATTCGAAGCACGGATCTCGCGGCGACTCGCGTTCGAATTGGGAGGCAGTTTTACTGTCGACTATCTTGGACCTCCCACTTCAACAGACGGGCAAGTGGATAGTCGAAAACAAAGAGCTGGGACAAATGCAGTGGCGTACCGACTTGTTCTTGAGTGGGGGGCAACCCCCCCCCCCCCCCCCCCCCAAGGGCCGGGGGACGGTGCCCTTCGTATCCCTTGGGCGCCGCCGGCCAGTGTTTGCCCTACCCAGTGGCGGCTGTTTCAGGGGCAAAACACATGCCTTGCCCCCCACTTTGAGAACTGAGGTGGGGGGGGGGGGGGGGGGGGGCAAGTGCCCCTTGCCCCCCCCCCCCCCCCCCCGGTTCACATTTGCCCATTGACAAATGTGATCGTGGCGATACGGCACGTAGTTCGATGTGGATATTTTCATTGGCTCGCTCTAATTTATTTACGAATTGTCCAGCACAATATTTCATTCAAATACGCAAACGTAATGTCAAAGCAGGGTTGTAAAAGTTACTTCAAAAATGTACCTAAGATACAGTTACAGTTACTCATACGAAAATGTACCTAGGTGCGTATCTAGCTACTTGCTTAAAAATGTACCTAGGTACAGGTACAGTTACTTCAAAGGTACTTTTTTTTTATTTTCACGTAAAGTATTTTTCTCAAATTTGTCACATTATTATTGGAATAAATCCTTTGTATACTGGGATGTAAACAAAAACAAGTTTGATAAACGTACTTTATTGGTGTCAATGGGAGAAATAAGGCAAAACGCTCACCAGAGCATTCGAAGACTTCGTTTTTTTCACTTGAGTGCTCGATTTGACCTCAGAATCAGGACTTCTTCGAAATGCTCATCCGACATCTTCGATCGCAGTTTGGTAGCAATTGTTCCTCCTATGCTAAAAACGCGCTCCACTGCCCCACTGCTTGGAAGCCCTGTGTTGAATCTTAAGAAGACGCTTTTCAGCAGCGGCATGTGCTTGAAACAGTCCAGACTTCTTGTCGGAGCAAGTTTGGTGTACTCTACAGTCGGCGAGAAACAGCCACCGGAGGAGCCTCCAACTCGGTATTGGGCAGGAGATTGAACTATAGGGGGCGCTCTGACCCGTTTGTTTTCCCCACGCTCGGTGTTTACTCAACACAAGGCCTGTGCACATGCCGACAGGCCTTATGGGCACATCCATGTCATCTTCTACAATAGAGCGTGGGGCACAGTTTAATGTAAAAAATACTAACAATCGACGAAGCGACGTTAAGTGCCGGATCTATCCTCAGAGAATGCGAGCTTGACCCACTTCGGCTTTTGTGCTGAGCTGGGACCGTGCATGCTGCATTGTTCATGCAGGCCGTAGTGGAAACAGAAGAGCCCCTCCTCCCCCTCACCGGAGAACACGAACTCCAGCCGAACGCTGACGGCGCATTCGGTTATGTCGGCCGAGCGCTGAGCCATTGTATTTGTTGTCCCCATCCGTGTAGTTGTAAAGTTAACCGCATAGGGCGTCACGGTCTGTCCTCCTCCCCAATAGAAGTTGGCACATGGCAAAACAGAAGGGCCCGGGGAGCCAATAAGGTCACTGGAGCGAGGCACGTGACGGCGCTGCACAGATATCCAGATCGGAGTGGAGTCCTCACGTGCCTTACTCTCACGCTCCAATTGGCTCACCGAGGACACAGCTTCCACTGTTTACGACGTCCCGCTCAAACTCGCTTGTTGACGTGGCTTGCCCTTCAGCGCCAGCACTGGGTTCGAAGCCATCGGCGAGCCCTGAAGACGTCGGCCGCATGGAGAAACGAAGAGTCGAGTGCACACGCACCTAACCTTCGCAACGCAACGACGCGCGAAAGTCTTCAAGCTTTCACGTTTTAGAGCGCAGCTCTTAGGCGCCCGTTTCCGGCTTGAGCGGCGTCGGCGTCGGCGTCGCCGTCGCCGTCGGCGTAACCGCGTGGTGCATTATGGGTAAATTTTTCCGAAGGGACCCGAGGACTCCCGAAGGAACCCGAGGTCGTCCCGAAGGCACCCGAGGTCCTTCGGGAGGACCTCGGGTCCCTTCGGGAGGACCTCGGGTCCCTTCGGGAGGACCTCGGGTTCCTTCGGCAGGACCTCGGAGGACCTCGGGTTCCTTCGGGAGTTGCATGCAACTGACATACAACGATTTGCATGCAACCTGTTGCATGCAATCCAGGTTGCATGCAACCTGATGACGTCATCGTCATCCGCATCGTCATCGTCATCACTGATGACGTCATCAGTGACGTCACTGATGACGTCATTGACATCCGCATCGCCATCGTCATCATCACTGATGACGTCATTGGCATCCGCATCGTCATCATCACTGATGACGTCATCAGTGACGTCACTGATGACATCATCATATCGTCATTGTCAAGGTCATGTGACCCCTGAGGTCACATGACCTCTTAAGGTCACGTGACCCCCCGGAGTCACGTGAACCCCCCGAGGTCCTCCCGAAGGACCTCGGGTTCCTTCGGGACGACCTCGGGTTCCTTTGGGAGTCCTCGGGTTTCTTCGGTAGGACCTCGGGAGGACCTCGGGTTCCTTCGGGAGTCCTCGGGTTTCTTCGGTAGGACCTCGGGAGGACCTCGGGTTCCTTCGGGAGGACCTCGGGTTTCTTCGGGAGTTGCATGCAACTGGCATACAACGATTTGTATGCAACCTGTTGCATGCAATCCAGGTTGCATGCAACCTGACGACGTCATCATCATCCGCATCGTCATCGTCGTCATCACTGATGACGTCACCAGTGACGTCACTGATGACGTCATTGGCGTCCGCATCGTCATCGTCATCTACTGATGACGTCATTGGCATCCACATCGTCATCGTCATCATCACTGATGACGTCATCGGTGACGTCACTGATGACGTCATCGGTGACGTCACTGATGACGTCATCAAATCGTCATTGTCAAGGTCACGTGACCCCCAGGTCACGTGACCCCCAGGTCACATGACCTCTTAAGGTCACGTGACCCCATTGAGGTCACGTGACCCCCTGGAGTCACGTGAACCCCCTGAGGTCACGTGACCCCCTCCTCCGAGGTCACCTGACCCCCTTGACGTCACCCGACCTCCCATGAGGTCACGTGACTTCAAGGAGTCGCACCTATCCCTCAGTACGCTTCCATCCTCCTCCTCAAAAGCTGCGCTCCAACCGGCGTTACAGAGAATTGTAAACGGCTTTCATTTTTTTCTTTTCGTTTTTAGCAAGGAAGAGAATATTGTAACGCGAGCGCGTTTAGGAGCTCGTGTCACAGAAAATCCGTCGGATGTCGGTGGTGTCGGTGGCGCGACGGAAAATTCCTGAATGGTCGATAGGGTCGTGACGTCACAGCCACATGACTTCGCGCGGGAATTTCAAACAACCCACAATGCTCATGTGAAGCGTGACGTCACGCGTGGAATGAAGGTGGTTAAAGACATACGAATTAATGGTCGCAGCATGTTTTAAATGATCCCACTTGATAAACTAATTCATTTGCCTTAAAGAAAAATTTGAAGAATTTACGCAGGATTGCACCCACGACCCTTCGGCTGCGAGCCAGACATGATACCGACTAGGCAATGGAGGGCTTGGGAATGGCACTGCGATCCTGCCGTCATTAGAGTGCCTCGATGTCTGTTTGTGTCAGGGTAAAGGCATTATCGCATCGAGTGTTGTTAGCGCGTGCCGAGCAAACACATAAATAAACCTTGCGGGGTAAAATGGCATCAAAGCACTGGCAAAAGCTCCTCAATCGCGCCGGGAGTGTTGTATCATAAGAACTAGGTCGTTGTGTGACTCAAGAGCATGAGAAGCGATTGAGAAGGCCATGCGAATGGTGCCCGATAACCCCATCGCCTCCAACTCTTAAAGGCGAAGGTTAATCGTCCACCCAGTTTTTTTTCTTCACAAACATTTTCAGTTTTGTAAAGTGCAAAATTTGAGTTTGATTTATTGAGTGGAAACACTACGTGATGTTAAATTGCTTTACGACTGTAATTATAATTTATTTTCAGTTATATGTTATATTGTATTTTCAACGATTTGACGAAGTGAATAAAAAGTACCTGTAAAAAGTAACTTCACTTAGTTACAAGTTACTGGAAAATGTACCTAAGATACAGATACAGATACTGAGAAATTAAAGTACCTAGGTTTGTACCTCAGGTACAACAA